AAAATATTTTGTGAACTTTGAAGTGACCTTGATATTGCGCCCTTCGCCCCAGGATGATGCCTTGAACAATTTTTACTGTACAACAAATCCTCATCCCTGTATGTTAGTTTGGTGATAATCTGCACTTAGATTCTTTGTAAGTCTAGTTTGTAAGGCTCATTATATAAATTGTATTTTAGAAGAACTTGGATTTAATTCTACAAGTGGTAATTCAACTTATACTCATAGTTCCCTTTCTAAGGAAGCAATTCTTCAAAATCATATGTCAGTTTTGAATATTTTTAATATCACAAAGAACCAAAATGATTTTGAACTACCATATATATATTGGATTCCAAAACTTCATAAGAATCCTTACAAACAAAGATACATTGCGGGTTCCAGTAAATGTTTAACCAAGCCTCTTTCTTTACTCCTCACTAAGATATTAACAGTAGAGAAGGAGAAACTTCAAGAGTACTGTGCAACAATATATTAAGGAAGTGGTGTGAATCGGATGTGGATACTCAAAAATTCCAAAGAACTTTTGGACAATTTGAAATCACAAGATTTTTACCAAAATCAACAGCTTAAAAACAAACGACTTTTCAAATTTAAACACAACCATTCCCCAAGATAAATTAAAGTCCAGGCTTTTTTTATATCATTGACAGCTGCTTTTTCAATAAAAATGGAACTCATAAATTTACTTACCTGGTCATTGGTCATTTGCAAAATTATTTTGTTAAAACATATTCTGATTGCACACATAAGTACTCTGAAGATGTAATCAAAAAGATGCTTGAGTTTCTGATTGACAATATCTATGTGGTTTTTGGAGACCAGGGGCCCGTTTTACAAACAAACTTACGACTAAGCCCCAAAACTTAAAAGTTGATTGTAAAATTTTGCAAAATTAATGATTGAGTACAAAATTGCTCTTTTAAAAATATCTTTTTACATTCCTTTTTAAAAACTTAAAACCATTTTCAATTAAATGCAAGTGAGAAAGTTATAGACAGATAGTCTTAGTCGTAAGTTCTTTTGTAAGATTCTTCCAACAATCTATTGGAATCCCCATGGGTACCAATTGCGCTCCGTTATTAGCAGCCTATTTTTGTATTCATTTGTGCAAAGCTTATGCGTGAAAAGAAGGAAACACTTCCTGTGGCCTTCATTTAGATATATCGACGACTTATTGTCAATTAACAATGGTAATTTCCATTCCTATGTCGATACGATATATCCTGGGGAACTTGAGATAAAAGATACCACAGTGTCTGACAAATCTGTTTCATACTTGGATATATTACTTGAAAAAGAGGTTAATAGTAATCTAGCAACCAAGCTCTATGATAAACGTGATGACTTTAACTTTTCTATCGTCAACTTCCCTTATCTCAGAAAGAGGGGGCTCAGCTTCCCTCCCCGACATATCTTTCTTTATAGCAATGCATACACAAGTGACATTCATTTGAAATACGTTATATCTATAGTTAAGTAAAACCTGAATCAGATCCTCCCATTGTATTTGAAACATTAAAGATATAAAAGGAAAAAAAATAATAAAATCCACTGAAGATGCCATGGAATGATTATCTTGAAACTGGAACTGGTTCCTCTCCTATAAATGTTAACCTCAATGTAGGATTCGAATTGCTTCTCGCTGTATTCAATATAATGTCCATTGCTAGTTTTTATTTTCTTTCAGATTTATTTTGTAATTGTGTGTGTGGTAGTGGGGGGGATATCACATTTTTAATTAAGCTCTTGGCACTTTGAAGTAAACATTGCAGGTTTTCCGGATGAGACAGTTTCATGTTACAGGTAGGCGTTGGCATGATAAAAAACCCTCACTGCTCAATGGCCCTAATGCCGAGTAAAAGTCTAAATGTGAAGCCCTTTGGTATATGGTGAAGTTTTTATCTAAGTAAAAAGTTCTCAAGCGGTGCGTAGAAAGACACAATCAACCGAACAAGGTCCTTTGGATGAAACCTATAAACCGAGGTCCGAGTAAAGGACATATTTTGCAGCTCTCCACATACAAGTGCATTAAGACGTCAACACAATGCTGAAAAATTCTCGAGAGGGATGTTAAACAACAATCAAACAAACTAGCGCTGTTTATCTGTGGCATAGAGTCTTTCTTATGACAATTAAAATGTTCTTTGCAGTTTTAAATGATAAATTTTACTTACTGTTATAGGAAAATACACTACGTAGTATTTTTAATGACGTTTCCTATATGCATGTGTATTTTGGATAATTTTTATTTACTAATAATAAGTTCTCGAGTAGGGCGTAAAACAAAATACAATACACAGATCTGGGTCCTTTGGATGAGACCTATGAACCGAGGTCTCCTGAAAAATATCCCTCATGCACTGCTGTAATTTGGATAAGTCGAAAATATTATGTCGTTTTTAAAAAGCTGAAATGCACGAATCTATTACATCATAGGATATGTTCTTAAAAAATATATGAAAATCTTACAATTTCGAAAGTAACATTGAAGTTGATTTTTTTTTAAAGATAAAAACCCTAATCCTGACCGTTAAAAAGTTATGGCCAAAAGTAAAAAGTTTTTTTAAAAGTAGGTCAACTCCAAGGTCAAGATCAAAGGGTCAAAGTTGTTGATATCCAATGAAAGGTTTTCTCACAAGGATTACCTATGTGAAGTATGAAAGCCCTCTCCCTTACTGTTCAAAAGTTATGGTCAAGGTTAAAGTTTTTTCCTTTAAGGTCAAAAGGTTATGATATCCAATGACAGGACTTGCCACAAAGAATACATATGTGAAATATAAAAGACCAAGTATCTACCGTTCAAAAGTTGTGACTCTCCAATGTCAAGGTCAAAGGGCAAAGTTGTTGGTATCCATAAAAGGTCTTTCAAAAGTTACATAAGAAATAGCCCTCACCGTTCAAAAGTTATGGTCACATAAGGATGTAAATCTCCAAGGTCAAGGTCAAAAGGTCAAGGTTGTTTGTATCCAATGAAATGTCTTGCCACAAGGAATACATATGTGAAATATAAAAGTCCTAGTATCTACTGTTTAAAAGTTGTGACCAAGGTTAAAACTTTTTAAAAGTAGTTTAATCTCCAAGGTCAAGGTCAAAGGGTAAAAGTTATTGGTATCCAATGAAAGGTCTTCTCACAAGGATTACATATGAATACGAAAGGCTTAGTCCTGTTCACACACACAATACTGAATACACACACACACAGGTCAAGATTAAGACCATCTTATAAATAATTCTTGTTTAATGCAATACTGTAAACAATTTAATAAACAAATGCTTCTCCAGACTCAGGGTAAAATTATTTGGAAAATCCATTTTCCAGAAAATTTCAACATATTTGTTGACGAGATAAGAGGGATAAAAAATATCATGTCCTGGAATGTAAAATAAAATTTTGAGACAGGCCATTTTAGTCAGTCGGTCAGGAGAGGGCAACCAAACATTTTTTTTAAGATGTCCTAATCTATATTACATGTATTCTTACTAGCAAAGTAGATCTCACTAATAGAATCAACATTCTAAAGAAGAAAAAAATCTTTAAACAAAGTCAAACAACAAAAGTTTAACTTTTAGCTCATAAAATATTTTTATGTTGCAATAAAACCACTAATGACTCTCCATAGATTTTTCCCCTCATGTTTCAATCATCTAGTAAAGGAGAAGTTAAAACTACATTTAGACATACATAAAATTCTCAAGTCTTATATCTTCAGTAAATAGGTGAAATTTAAACCCTGGAATGTATACAAAATGAATTATTAAATTTATTTTGCTTGTTTAAAATGAAAAGAGGTTTGTTTTTACAGTGGTTAAAATTGTCTCCCTTGATGCATACGGTAGCACATTTCTGCTATAACTTTTTTTAAAAAACTCATAAATATTTATTTCTAAAAAAGACATCTTTTGCTTTTATATATTTTTCTAGAGTTTTTATATGTTAATTAGAATACTATTTACTAATTATAATTAAAGAAAAAATTTCTGTTGCAATTTGTTTAAGGTTTATGACAGTTTGACTGGACTATTTAAAAGGTCATCATTTCGTAAGTTCTATGGTCGATACAATGACCTTGTCAGCAAATACAATTTATCATTGAGTCAAACGCTGACTGACGTTTTTCATACTAATTGTTAGTCCATTATTTATACACTGAATTGACGATGGATTTTTTCCAATATTTCCTGATCATGACAAAGAGCACACAGCGGGTGTGACCGGTCGGCAGGGGATGCTCACTCCTCCATGGCACCTGATCCCTTCTCTGATTTTTTGGAGATCGGTGTTTGCTCTGCTCCTGTTTTGTGTTGTTTTATGGACTTTCGATCTTGAATACTGTTCGTTATCTCCATACGTTTCATTCTCGAGAAGGTTTTTTCAGCAACCAGTATTTATGTTGTTTTCCTAATTATCCCCCCCCCCCCTTTGTAAGGACCACGTCCTTAGTTTTACTAAAACGAGAGTCCTTGGGCCAAGGATACTCTGTGAGAAATTTTACAAAAATCAACCAAAGGGTTCATAAAATATGGTCCATATATATACATGTATATAAAAAAAAAGTAAGTTAACATACATGAACAAATTAATGGTTATAGCATTAGCTCTTTAAGCCTTTGGCTCAGAAGAGCTAATAAGTACGAAACCTGCTCCAAATAAATAAACAGAATTAATATAGGCTAAAAGTGAAAGTTGAAACCTGCATGAGTAATGAAATATTCTACATCCATCATCCAAACACCCTGATTAATAATTAGGACCAAAAAATTAAAACTGCTCCAAAAACTTCAACTTTGGACGCAGACACCGTTGGTACAGACCTTCCCTGACTTCTTTAGAAATGGCAAATGGCAAAAAATTCTCCCTAGGAGCTTTAAACACTTTTCTTTTTTAAAAGAAGTATATATTTAGTATTTTATATACATGTAGTACTGGTATCTAGTATCAAGTTACGCCAAGTGAGTAATACATGTACTGTATTTACTTCTTTCAAACAAGCGGCTTTTCTTGTTTCACATAACATCAGATAGTTTGAAAACTCTCACTTCATTTTTTCCGCATGTCCAAAGAGTGTTGCTTTCATTTATGCATATTCCAACGTTATACTGTAGTCCTGTCTTTTCACATTTTGTGAGCAAGAAAGTTACAAAGTGACCATCTTGATCAATCACATGGATACTGTTATGCTCATTGATGACTAGAATCCGTCCCTGATCATCGATACATATTCCCCGGGGGTAGAAATTGGATTCTCCTTCGTGTCCCCTGTACGTGAACCGGTGGTTCCTGTCTTTGTTCACCACCACCACAGCGTTATTTGGACAGCCATCTGACGTGCAGATATCGCCGTTCAAGTTTTCTGTAATGTAAAGAGGGGATTGATAAAGAGGATTACCCTCGGCGTCAAACTGAATCGACCACGGCTCGCCCCGCTCCTTGTCGTATCGGGTTACTCTAGCCAACATACTTTGATACTCTCCTACAAGAATAGCTCCGTTCTTGGGGGAAGAGAAGATACATAATGGCGTCCAATCTCCTGTGACAATGAAAGTGGTTTTCATTCTCAATGAAGTATACTTCTTGATGCTATTGTTGAATCGGTCGATGTAAAGTAAATCTCCTTCCTTAGTTACTGTGTGACAGCCGTGCTGATTATTTATTTGGGCGGTGTTTATCTTGCCTAAGACTTCACCAGTATCATCTGTGAGAACAATCTGGCCATCTCCATTTCCTATCCATAACCTGTTATTTAGGACATATGAAATATGCCTTGCATCAGAAAAAGGCAGTTTGAATGCAATGCTTACTGGGTTGGACTCGACATGATTCTTGTTTTCTTGAGGCAATGTGCTCTCAGGAATTGACAATTTTCCAAGAAGGTTTGCCACGTTGTCCTCACTTACATTTTCTCTGAGATAAACTGGCCTTTTTAAGTTTGTTTCTTCAAATTCCATGACATCAGACTCGAAAATCTCTTTCCGCAGCATCAGTTTCTCGTAAGGTCCCCTCTTCTTATCCTCATAGTTATCGATTAACTGTTCATTGTTTGTAATGTATCCTGATATGAGGGTTGCCTGCCTTTCCAAGTAATCATTAATTCGCTCTTCCTCACAATCCAGACTTCGACAGTTTCTCTCCACAATAACGTCCACTAAATCTTTCAGTTTCTTTGCATCATCTTGCAATTGTGATCTAATTTTAGAGATTTCTTCTTTTGATTCAACTTTTTCTTCACTCAAAGTGGATAGTGTATCCCGCCATTTTGGTATGATGGCCTTTTTGATGTTCTGAATCTTAATATTGCAACGCTTTTCCGATTCCTTTAATGCGTCGTTAATGTTTTTGAACGTATGGCTTCGGTGGTCTTCTTCCTTGCATCTTGAGCAGACTGGTAGTTTGCATAACTCACAGGCCATTTCATAGCAAAATTCTTGATGAACGCGACAGGGCTCTGTTTTAGAAGGTGCTGGCTGCCTGTCCTGGTACAGAACAATAGCATGGAAGGTGGTGGTGTCGCTTTGGATGTGGTGGTCGCGACATGCCAGACACAATCTCTCGGCGCAGATGTAGCAATAGTATTCCGCGCTCCGGTCACAAAGCGCACACTGCACGTAGTGTTGGGCAAAATTTATGCCAAATTTCAACATCTATAAATTTAACCAAGTAGTCATCAGACGATCAACGATACATATAATTCAAAAGTTGATGTTACACAGTAAAAATAATTATAATAGCGGAAAAAAGCACAGTTTCAAAATTACTGTATCACAAGCGCTTTCTGGATTTTATAATCTGTCTTCAGGTGTACATACTTTGAACAGTTTGTTATGCTTAATTATATATTTATAAAAATTAAGAATGTCACTATTCACTTTTATATAACCACTGATTAAAAAATACATATGTACTTTACCTTGATAGTATTCCTGGTGATACTCTTAACGGTATGTAGAGTAATTATGGCAGATATTGGCAACTATAGGACCTATATTCTAACTCGTATGCGTTCCACAAATTTTCTGGGTATTTTCTATTTTCGGATTTCTGCTAAAAAGGTGATACAAACTGTGAAACTGCGTTTTGTGATGCAATGACCTGTGTCAGAGTTGAGAATTTAAACTGCTATAGAGGGCACCAGAGTTTCACAAACATATCTTGTTTCATTTGCACGTGTATTCAAATGAACTAAATGGGTACAGTTGAGTTTTGAATCGCTTAATTGAAATAGTGTGTACAAATATCTTATTACATAAAAATACATATCGATGTCGTCTCTTGAAGATGCAGCTGACGTGAGTTGTGAAGATGATAGTCAGTCCTACCTATACCTGACCCATTTAATATCTTTGAACAGGTGATACAGTAAAATTAATTAACAAATGTACCCTCCACATAACGTTGATTTGATTTCACCGCTAGACATCAGTGTAAATTTAGAAATACAAATGCCATTTGCAAAAACCTTTAACAGACAAGAGAATTCATCCAAACATCTAATGTTTAAATATATCTGTTTTATTCTTTTTAAAGAACACACACACAACTACACTGTTGTGAAAAGGAAGAGAAACTCCTTTATTATTTTTATTTATTATTCAAAATGAACTAAGAAAATTAATGATAACTCATAATTTAAAAAAACCAACCTTATCATAATGATGATACAGCGAAACAATCCCAACCTACCCTAAAAGTGTGTCTATTAACAGAAAAATAAACACTGATGCTCCCGTGACAGCTAATGGCCAAGGTAAGATTTTCAAATGAAGGTTAAACTCCAAGGTCAAACCAAGACGTAAAATTGTTAGTATCCAAAGAAAGGTTCTGTCACAAAACACAAAAGTTTTATGAAAACCAAAAAACAAACTATCTAAGACTTAAAGGTAAGGTTAATATTTCTGAAAAGTAGTAAAAACTCCAAAGTTAAAAGATCATGAATGTTAAATTTGGTACTCAAATTAAGGTGTTGTCACAAGACATTCACAAACATACACAGAAATATAAAAATCTTAACCTAATTATTCAAAAGATAAAGACAATGTTAAAGTTTATGTGGACAAACAAAAAGCTAGACAGAGAGTCAGGCTAAAATAAATGAACATTCCCCTCCCGAATCAACATTTAGTATATATATATAATTAAATATATAATTACAACTCTATTTCGGCGATCGAGCTTGATTATTGACTGCAGGTTAGCTTTGTGGCCCTTGGGTCCCATAGTGTGCAGATGTTCAATCGGTCGTTTGTCTTTAAAAGAAGAGAAAACTTTCTCCCCCTTGAGTACAAAGTCAATATTAATTCATATTACAATGACAGAAAAGGTGTCATTGTAGCATTGATTACGACATTTCTGGGTTATAATGATAGATTGAAAACGCAGTCGTTGGTTAGTCTGGGTGCTAATATGTTTCCCAGGGAATATATGCGGTTTTTGCCATTTTTCTTCTTTAAGAATTACTAATTAGTTATTCTATGAAAAACTGCGAACTGGGATGTTTTCATTCAATGCATATGAATCTGAGGTTTACACTGAAATTTTTTACCATTGTCAACTGAAGGACGTATACTTGGTTTTATCATTGAGTAACAGTACTATAGTGTCTTTAACAAGTGTTTCTCGTCGAATCAGATTCACAAACTTTTAATGAAAGTCTAATATAAAGGGTTTTTTTTAATATAGATGCTAATTGTATAGTTCATTTAGGTCATTTTACTTTCCGGAAACAAACTGTATCGAACCGAAAACAGCTGAATGAATTTCGGTTTCCGTGCTTCCAAAACATCTTAAGGTTATTCCAAGTTTCTTTCTGTTTTGCGTCCACCTAGCTGCAGAACTGTAGCTCTCCGAAAAAAAATATGTTGACAGACCAGAGAGCTACAGTGCCACCCATTGAAAAAACTGTATATTTATTGCGCACAAAAATTTGCGCTTGGTTCTGGATTAATTCTTCCAAATTCTTACCTCAATGGCAACAAAGCTAAATTTCAAAAGGGTCCTTACTTCTCTATCAAGTACTCTCTTAGTTTACAACTGTACGAAGCGCGTTGGACCGAATTATCTTGCAAACAAAAATGGCAGTATAAATGGGCGAAATTTTCGATCATCTCAATTCCAGGGCAAGGAGGGCTATTGATAACAATTATAAGGAATGTTTTTTGTGGAAACAGTGAAAGAATACCAGGGGTATGTTAGGATCACAAGGTTAGTAATATTTTGATGTTAAAGTTTCAAAACCATGGAGAAATAAACCGAGAAACAGCGCACTTTTTTGTGCGCAATAAATATAGTTTTTTTCAATGGGTGGCACTGTAGCTCTTCGGTCTGTCAAAATATAATTTCGGAGAGCTACAGTTCTGCAGCTAGCGTCCACCCATCTTTCAAAAACCTATTCGCAAAAACACACACATAAAAAAAATTATACCACGGACTTTATTTTATCAAGGTATGAAATGCTTAAAATGTACTTAACAGGACATTTTGTAGACAGATCCAAACATTTCGACCAGAATCTGGTAATCAATTGCAGGTCTCCTGATTTTGACCCCCCCCCCCCCCAATATAAGGTGTCAAAACAAAGGCAAACACAGACCTTGAACACTTAACATACAAAAAGCTTGGACTGGCCCAATTTATAGACTACAGATGACATTATATTGAAAATAATTATTTTTCTTAGTCGAATATTCGATTGTATTATTCGACAGTCGAATATTCGGAACATTTTCTGAAAATAAATTCACAGGTACAAGAGGTATTTATAAATAAAAATCCCTTGATCATAATTTCTATAAAAGTAACATCAAATTCTTATGAACACACTGATACAGATCTTCACAGGCACCTAACTTGTTTATAGAATAACTAAATCTACATTTATAAAAACCTTTATACTCCTCGATTCTAGAGCAAACGCTAGAACCACTGTGCCATGCAGGCTAAAAAGTAGAATTTCTAGTAACAAGTTGTCGTCATTCCTTTAAGTTCAAGATCAAACAGAGAACCTTGCCGTTTGGATCATTTTTTTTCAATTTCAAATATTTCCGACTTTTAAGTTATAAAGACCGGTTTATATTTGTCTTTTTCTCTATTGATTGCGACATTTCTGGGTTATTGAGACAGGTTGTAAACTAAGACGCAAATTGGTGTCGGGTATAGATATTTTTCCCAGTGTTCCAACAACCTCCATTTTTAAGTCAAGAAAAAAAACCATGCACGAAGTAGAATATAATTCCTTTAATTATTTCTATTCAAACTATGTAGTCACTACATATTTACAAACAGAAGATGAGAGAAATGAATACATGTATTTTTTAATACAATTAACAGGATAACATTCCCTCCAGAACTTTTGACGTCATATTACTTCCTGCAGAATGATCTCGTTTACGTATATCATTAAGCTCACGGAAGTCGAGTTGAGGATATCATCAGTTGTACAGGATATACACTAAAATTTATCCTTTTCGAAAGCAAGGAAAAAATTTCTTTCCTAATAATTACAGATTATGCCGCATTTAAAAAAAAAAAATCGAAGAACATAGACTTATATATTGGTTTTCATTGTACAAAATTTTAATGTAGCTGAGCCTTTTGAGGATTTGATTTTATTTGAGACTACACTTGTATCCTGGAATTTCTTTTTTAAATTTTGGCAAAATATATTGTTTTCATTACAAAAAATTAATCTGAATAAACTTATTTCACCACAGATGCTTGCTTTCAGGCTGGTGTATTTTGTTAGCTGCAGAAACTGTAGCGTTATATGGTTTTATATATAATCAAAACGTTAGAGTTTCTGCAGCTAGTATATTTCGTTTTACAGTGTGTTTTCCTATTGTCATAATAACATGTACACATTAAAATTTAAAGATAGATTGTTGAAAATAACATTTTTACAAAGATATCATACTTCTGTCCTTAATGTACATAAAATGTATATATCTTTAAAATGTTATTTTCAGAGATTTTCTTTCATGATAAAGGGTAAGAACGAACAAGGATCGATCTCATATAAACTTCAAACAATACAAATAACTCAAGAATTGCAGAGGCTAGATCAGGTGCCCAGGAGAAGCAATCATCCCTTGTCTACCGCGTCTAGTCCTAGTCATTTAGATCGACATAAAAATCACACAGTACACAAAAATCCTGACACAGAAAATCACGTCATTAACAAAAAGTCAATAGATAATGGGAATGCAATACTGACATAACTAATTTTAGTGGGGGTTTAATTTTCGTGGTTTTGCGGGTATGAAGAGACCCATGAATTTATGTCCACTGTGAAATGCAATTTTTCACAAATATAACAACTCAGCGATTCTGGCGGACTCATATTTTTTCCTCAAACCACGAAAAATTGACCCCTCAAAATATGTGATTTTACAGTATCTGCCTTATGCCGATTGACACATTTCTTATTGTTAAATATTGTTGAAGATTCATTTAAACAAAGAATTGCTATTTTAGAAAAGAAGGTTTTTCAATTAGAGGTTCGGACATGTTTTAGTGAACTAGATTTTCAAATCTCTAAATCCGAAACATCGAAAGCAATCAGTGGACTTTAATGTAACAAACCACCGGATCTTGACAGAATTTCAAATCATATAAAATATGGGCGAAATTCATTAATATTGGTCAGTATAAAGAAATTGTTTGTTTAATTGTTGTCCTAAAGTTTATGGAAAATATCCGAGTCCAAGGTTAAGATCATAATTTTTTGTACCTAAACAAAATTTTGTCAACAGGAATTCATGTGTGAAATATGATGGCCCCCTAGCCTATAACTACTGTAACTGCTCAAAAGTTATGACCAAAGTTAAAGTTTATTTTGAAGTTGCTCAAAGTCGGACGTCAAGGGTAAAAAATATCTATATCCTTGTATATGTCTTGCTAGAATAAATACGGTACATATGTGAAAGATGAAAGCCATAGCTCTAACTGTTAAGAAGTAATGGCTAAGATTTTTTTTTTTTTTTTTTTTT